TTTGTATTCTATTTATTTTGATTTACTGTTATTTTTACTAATTTTTTACAATATTCCAAAAACTTATCTCTAATTGTATTGTCCTGTAATATTTTATTCAAGTTTTCCTCCTTTACATCATAATTTATTTCTAACTCCAAATTTAGTCTCTCTCTCAGGTACTTGGGGCAGCTAGTTATTATGTGTAGAGAAGTTTGGTCCACATCCGGGTCGCAGTCGCACGATGGGCTGTCCTTGCACTTGAATCTATTCAAGTAAAAGGAGAACCCGCCGTGTCCGGTCATCAATTGGGTTATCAACGGGTCCGTTTTTATTTCTTTTAATATTGGGTAGGCGGTTATTGCATCCGGGAAAAATACTTTGGTGGTGGCCGCTGTTTCACCACTTTTATACCTCTCCATTCGTCAAGCGACTCCAATCGGATTTGTCGCTTGACGAATGAGACTGGGCATTTGCTATAATTAGATTTAGTTTTGAGGTTCGTTGCCGCTTTTGCCATAATATCGGCGCGCTCATTTCCTTCTATCCCTGCGTGGGCCTTAATCCAAAAAAGACGGAGCCGTCCTCCTCCCTCCGTTATTCTCTTGATATTTGTCCTTGTTTCTACGGCCAGAGGATGTAGGGATGTGGTGTTTTTTACAGTTTCTAAGGCCGATAGGGAATCGCAGTACACATTAGTTTTCTTCGGCGCCTCTCTTTATTGCCTGTTCAGTGGCTTCCTTTAGCGCTAGAAGTTCTGCCTGGTAGACGGTGCAGTACTGATCCAATTTAAGTTTTCGGGTACTTATTTCCGTGCCATTTTCCCACAGAGACAATGCCGCGCCTACTTTCCCCTCCAACTTACTGCCATCTGTATAGATATTTAGGCCTGTGGTGTTGTATTGGTTCAGTTCTGCCTCGTCTCCCAGGCATGTGAACTGTAATTCTTCATATTCCGCCGGGTGATTACAGCTTCCGAAGGGCATCTGCGTCTCGATTTCCCTATCGCCTACTATTCTCGTGGAATAACCTCTCTTTATAATATAAAGCGAGGCTGCTTCCCTGACTTTATGTCGAGAGGAAGCAGGCCCGCGAGCAGAAGGGCTGAATTTAGGGATACTGTTCTGTATGCCTTGACAATCTTTTGAGCGAAGCCTCTCTGCACAACATCCAGACGCTTCCTTATTCCCAATTTTTCTGTTGTCGATGCCCAAGCACTCGCGGCATAAAGTATTGTCGGCTCGACCACGGCTGAGTAAATAGTGCGAATTATCTCGGGCTGCAGACCCCACTGGAGTTTGGCAGCACGAGACAATTGTTTATAAAGATTTAAAGCTTTCCGGCAGATATAACTGACGTGGGAGCTAAAGGTCAGTTTTGCATCGATAATCAGTCCTAGAATCTTCATTTCATCGAACATGCCAATGTCGATCCCCCCCATGTTCAGGCGTGGTATGTCATATTTTAGTTTACGGGTAATTGTTATTGCGGTAGTTTTATGCGCTGCGAATTTTAATTTATTTATGACACCCCACTCTTGAACATGTTGGAGTGCGGCATTGGCTCGTTCTTCTATTTCTAGGGCTGTCTGTCCGTCGAACGCCAGTACGACGTCGTCCGCGAACGCTTGGCAGTAGTGACCCTTCTTTTCCAGTTCATGCAATAGTGGGTCAAGCAAAAGATTCCACAATAAGGGGCCACCTATGGAGCCTTGTACACATCCCTTAGTGGTTCCCCTATCATATTCTTCACCGGCGTATTTAACTTTCACCTTCCTATCTTCCAAATAACTATCCACTACTCTTCGCAGGTTAATGGGACATCTTTCCTCAGCCAATCGGACTCTTATGGCCGGCCACCATGCGCTGTCGAAAGCTCCCTCTATATCTAGTGAAACTAAAGTTATTATGCGTTTCTGTTTTATTTTAGCATGTATATGCTGCATAAGAGTATAGAGGGAGTCTTCGGTGCTCTTCTGGGGCATGAATCCATATTGGCGAGTACTAATCCTTGGCACGAGATGGTATTTTAATCTGGCAACTATCATTTTTTTTTTTTTTTTTTTTTTTTTTTTTTTTTTTTTTTTTTTTTTTTCGTAAATTTTCCCTAGCACGGGTAGTAGACCGATCGGTCGATATGATTTCGGTTCGGTGTAATTGGTCTTTCCCGGTTTCCTGAGAATAACTACCGTGGCTTCATTCCATGGTTTTGGAAAATGACTATGTTTCAGGCATTTATTTGTTATTGCTAGGATGAGTTCTGGGTTATTTTCAATTGCTTGTTTACAAATGTCGGCCGTTAAGCCGTCACCTCCGGGGGCCTTTTTCGCGTTAAATGTATTTACAGCCATCGAGAGCTCCGCTTGTGTGAACGGTGGATCCCAGGTATCACTTTGGTGTCCATCGTTTATTGTTGCTGCCATTTCTCTAATATTACTGTGATCTGCATTATCATTTGAAATAAGGTCTTCTGGATAGAAAGTTTCGGCCAACAACTTGACAGAACCCTTCGCGTCCAAAAGCTTTCCTTCATGTTGCAATGGGAGATCTTCTTCTCGTTTAGTAACTCTGCCGATCACTCTGTATATTCCTTGCCACACTCCTTCCTTATCCTGCTTCCCACAAAATTCCTTCCAGCTCCCGACTTCGGCCGCTTTTGCTGCTGTTTCATATTTTTCTTTCTGTTTCAGGTACTCATCGACTACTTTCGCTCTACGAATTGGTGCTGCACAGCGGATCCTGTTCTTCAGTGTGGAGGTCTTCCGTTTCATCTCTTCGAGCTCGTCGGACCACCACGGGATGGTAAGTTTCTCAGTATTTTTCTTTTTAGGTATTGAATGATTGCATGCTTGTTCTATTGATTTTGTGTATTTTTCTACTATTGACTCTATTTCACCTTTACTGTTAATGTTATTTATTTCAGCTATTGTTAATTTTTGTTCCATGTTAAATTGGTTCAGTTTCTCATGAAACTGAGGCCAATTTGCCTTGCGAGTGTTGTATTTTCTAGTGGTTCTTATAATGTTATTAGTCGTTGATTTTTTCCCTTCTATCTTAAATACAATCCCGTTATGGTCCGAGCCCGTGAGGTTTTCATCTACTCTCCATTCTTGTATCCTGTTAATCATGTTCGAAGTACAGGCCGTTACATCGACATGGCTGCTATATCTTATCCCTCTTATTGTGTCGAAAGTTGGAGTGTTCCCAACATTCAGCACATGGAGCCCCATATCGTCGAGAGCTGAAACCATTTCAGCGCCCCTATTGTCATCAGTTATACTTCCCCACCAGCTACTCTTTGCGTTAGCGTCCCCACCTATGACCATTTTATTATGACCCATTTCTTTGACTACTTTTTCTATATGCTCTAGGTATGGCTCTATGGGTAAATTCGGCTCGAAGTAATAGGACACCAGGGTAATTGTTGTGTCACCATCTCGAATTCCCACAACTACCACATTGTCTGTAGTAAATTGCGGGTACTGCGTAACCTTAATATTCGAGTCGAAGACCACTATAGCGGCCTTGACTGTGCCTTCTCCCTGGTGAATACTCTGATATATCCTTGTACCCCGGTAGCTCCTCATACCTCGAGCGTTTCCCACATACGGCTCCTGAAGCAATGCGATAGAAATTCCTTGTTTGCGGGATTCGGTCAGCAACTCTATCGTAGCGAGTTTCTTTCTCTGGAGATTTGCTTGCACTATTGTATACCCCGGGACAACCTTAGCAATACGCTATGGAAGACCTGGCTAAGGCCTCCCATTTTCTACGCACCGGACACTCGGAACTGAATGCGTTATGGTCTACACTGTGATTTTTTGCTTTTTCGCAATTTGTACATTTGGGCGTCAATTTGATTGAGAGATCTGGGCAATCAGTTTTAAGGTGCGGTCCAGCACAGTGGCTGCATACATCGGCTTCTTCGGTACAGAATTTCCGGCCATGTCCATACCCTAGGCAGCGCGAGCACTGTATCAGGGGGGACTGGTCGGCCACTCTTATCCTCCATATGTCCACGTGTACAACACCCGCTTCGGTCATTCTCTGCCAAATTATGGGTGAGACCCTGAGTACTACATGAGCAGTTAAGGGGTTCCTCGCTCTTCTCCTGAACCGTATCTCCATGCGATCTTCTTCTTGCTTTATGTCTCCCAGGAGATGGCGATTTTGCGCTCTAATGGCTTTAACGAGGTCATCGTCCGAATAGGACTGCATGACTCCGTATAAGACCACTAGAGGATCCTTATTTTTGATTGTCCTCTACGTTCAATGGTTGCTACCCTTTTTTAATTCTTTCCGCTACTTTTTTGATTTCTTCCTTGCTCCTACATCCAATTATCACCTTCCTGTCCTTTGCTTTCCGAATCTTGTCAACTGTTATCCAGCCTTCTTCGTCTTTAACAGCATCTTTAAATTTCTGGATAACTTCATCGCCAGTGTCCGTTTCGTTCGTAGAGGTGACAATCACCGAGTGGAGCGTTGTCGTTTGCGGGGGATTCTTCGCTGTCCGACCCGCTGCCACACTCGCGTACGTAGTGCCTTCAAGCACTTTCTGGTGGTTATCAATCTTGTCACTTAACATTTCAATTCTAGTAAAGCTGTTTCTTAAAAGTTCGCTATGTTCCTTCAATTCTCTACGAAGATCTTCCCCAGTTTGTTCTATTCTTTGCGATTTTGGTTCTTGTATTTTGTTACTTGTTTCGTCGGTCTTTCTAGTCTTAAGCTCTTTCATTTCTCCTCTCAGGCTCAAAATTTCCTGTTGTGTTCTTTCCAATGTGGTGGTCTGTGTTTTAATATATTCTAAATAATTCGTTAAGTTTGTGTTCGTTCGATTCTGGTTTTCGCATATCTATTTCCAAATTGTAGTCTACTGCTTCTCCTATATAGATCTTAATGCTCTGCAGCACCATGTTATATAGACCTTTAGTACTTTTTTGTATTTCCTCCTTTATTGTGCGTTTTATATTTCCAGATTGATTTAGGTTAGTACGAATGTTGTCCACATGGTATTTAGTTTCAGCTTAGAATTCTTTCTATGATCTTTGTTTGTTCCATTGGATTATTTAAAGTTTCCTGAGACTTTGAGGTCTTCTCTCTATCCGCTGATGCCACTTCTGTTAACCCTGAGTTCGATTGCGAAGAGTGCGCTTTTGTCAACTTCTTCTTTGCTGGTGCGGCGCGACTCTGTGTAGTCATAAAGAGTCGAATTGGTTGAGGCTTTGTTCCTGTCTCAGCAGGCACCTCCGTCGTAAATCCAGTGATGTCTATCGGATCGGCCGTTTCTATGTTGCTATTTAAAGCGATCACATAGGCTTCCGTCGGTGGGGTTGAAGGTTTCGCTTCATAAGTCACGTTTAGCTCGGCGGTCACTTCCCTGTTCGAGTCGGGGCTTGTGCTTTGAGCCCTCTTGGGGGCTTTTGTGGGTGTCCTAATTACAAACATGTTGCTTACGCAGTGGGATTCTAAAATAAAATTCCGAATACTTAGATTCTAAAAGGAGTTAGGTTAGGTTAGGTTAGGTTAGGTTAGGTTAGGTTAGGTTAGGTTAGGTTAGGTTAGGTTAGGTTAGGTTAGGTTAGGTTCTCAGGGCAGTTGCTGGACTGCTACTGGGCGCGTCCCCCGGGTGGCGGATAGGGGAATGCCACCACATTGGTGGTACCGGTCTGACCGGCGCGGACCAAAACCAGCAGGCATGGCCGTGCCTTTAGGGGTTCGTTAACCCCACGGCCTAGGGGAGCACACCCTAAACAAAGCCGAAGCTGTGGATCAGCAAACAACCATCATGCAAGCAGAAAGTAAAGAGAGACTACCCCAGGAGGGTACCGGTGTGACATTCCACCGGGAATCCCTTCACGCTACGGCGTGCTGCCCCTTGAATTCTGGGGGGGGCAACTCCTGCTTAAGTGATGCCGGTGAAGAGCCCGAGAAGGGTGGAGTAGATGGTGAGCCTGAGATGGGCGGAGTGACTGTGGGGCCCGCGAAGGGCGGAGTAAAGGAGAGGCCTGCGACGGGCGGAGTTAAAGGAAGGCTTTTGAAGGGCGTACCTACTAAAGGCACTACTGTTTCTGTTGCCCAGGGTTATCGGAGCCAGTCTGGTTCTCCAGATGATGACAAAAGGCTCGATGCGAGAGTACCAGTTACTCGCATGAGAGGTCGTCCACCAACCACTGGACAATATATGGGATTGGCCGAAGCCCAACGAGCCCTCAACGAGGCGAGGAGGGAGGAGCTCAGACTCAAGGCCCAAAAGGAGGTTTGCAGAAAAGGCGGCGGCACTTAGGATCAGAGCCAGCCCACGCACCTGTGCACCCGCTAACAAGACTGGAGCGATTGGGGAGGCTGAGTTAGTCACGGACCTCCAGGGCAAGATCCAAACAAGTCTGGAGGTGATCAAGATGGTTGCAACAAAATCTGGCAACTTGAAGGGTGGCTTTGTGAAGGCGCTGAAAGACGCGGCAAGTACAATTGCCAGTGCCGTGGACAATCTAGCGCGGCGAACAGCAACTGAGGAGGCAGCGCAACTCCGGGCCAATAACGCCAAGCTACAGAAGGAGGTTGATGACCTGAGAAAGGAAGTAGCAGCGATGAGGTCGGAACTGGATCGAGCTCGGACAGCGCCACCACTGCAATCATCTACTGCAAATTTGGCGCCTAGTATGGAGATAGCGGAACTCAGGAGGGAGCTCGCGCTGATTAAGGAACAACGTACTGTTACCCCAACGGCGGGCCCGGCTCCTATCGACGCTGATAAATTGGTGCGCTCCATCATAGGACAGATTAGCACCATGGTAGATGCCCGCTTCGAGGCATTGGAGACAAGGATGATGCCACCAGAAGAACAAATGGCTCAACCGTCATTGGCTACAAACGTGGATCGCACCCGGGAGCCGCAAGCCATTGCTACCACGTTGATGGCTCCCGCCAATCCTGGTAAGAAGGGACGCCAAAAGAAAAAGAAGAAAGAGTCTTCCAAATTGGCGCAACCAGTTGCCCCTAAACATGCTGAACCACCTCCACCTGCTTCCAGTATATCAGAGGGATGGAACTTGGTGGTCAAGCGGGGCGCAAAGAAGAAGGCAGTGGCAGCAAACCAGTCACAAAAGAAGGTACCATCTGGTGAGCCAAAACTGAAGCTGCGTCCACCCCGTTCCGCTGCGGTTACTATCAAGCTTCAGCCCGCAGCCGTCGAACGGAATTTAACATACGGAGAGGTGTTCACCCAGGTAAAGCAAAAGCTGGACCTAAACGACCTGGGCATCAACGACCTAAGGTATAAGGTGGCTGCAACAGGCGCCAGGATGCTGGAGATACCTGGTTCCAATAAGGATGACAAGGCGATGCCCTAGCTCAGCAGCTGAGAACTATCTTGGCCGCGGAGGATGTACACATCTCTCGTCCAATGAAATGTGCCCGAACTGCAGATACTAGGTCTTGACGACTCAGTAACAGTGGAAGACCTGACTGAAGCTGTCAGCAAGATGGGAAGCTGCTCCAAGGAGATGATAAAGGTCGGGGAGATACGCCGCAATCAGATAGGCCTAGGAACAGCCTGGATCAAATGTCCTGTGATGGCTGCTAAAAAGGTCGCAGATGGGGGCAGAATACGAGTTGGTTTTGTATCGGCCCAAGCCAAACTGCTACAGCCCCGACCCCAGCGGTGCTTCCGCTGTCATGAAGTGGGGCACGTGGTGGCTAAGTGCAAAAGCGGTAATGACCGGAGCAACCAATGTTTCCGATGTGGACTCCCGGGACACAAGCGTGGGCAATGCTCTGCCACGCCGCACTGCCCGGTATGTGAGGTGGCCAAGAGGCCGGCCAATCATATAGTTGGGAGCAAAGCTTGCACCCGGGCCCCGGCTCGTTGCCGTCCTGCGACTAAGACAGTCGAGCCGCCCACGGAGGATCTGGGAGCTGACAACAATAATGGCCACTGCCACTAAATGTTTGCAGGCGAACCTGAACCACTGTGCCAGAGCTCAAGACTTGCTGGTCCAGAGCCTGGTGCAGTGGTCGGTACAGGTGGCGATTATAGCGGAGCCGTATTTTGTTCCCCCGCGGGATAACTGGGCCGGGGATGAAAATGGGCAGGTCGCCATCGTGACCCAGGTCGCCGCCGGCGCCCCGCCTTTTGCACGGATTGTAAAGGGGTCGGGATATGTCGCGGCACTGCTGGGTCGGTTGGTTGTGATTGGGGCATATTTCTCCCCCAACAAAACTCTGGCAGAATTTGAAGAGTTCTTAGACGAGTTGGGGGAAGTAATTGCCAGGTTTGAGCCGGCAGAAGTTCTCCTCGCGGGGGACTTGAATTCGAAGTCCACCATGTGGGGATCGACAGTGGAGGATGCGCGAGGAAGGGAGCTCGCGGAGTGGGCCATTGCTACCGGCCTGACGATCCTGAACCAGGGAACGGTCGACACGTGCGTGCGACGGCAGGGCGGGTCCATCGTGGACGTAACGTTCGCGAGCCCTGCTTTAGCGCGCCGTGTCCACGGCTGGCGAGTGCTGGATGATGTGGAGACACTTTCGGACCACCGTTACATCAGATATGAGATCTCCACTCATCCGGCGGTGCCGCCAAGCCCTAACCGAACCCTGAGGGGGGAGGGTCCGCGGTGGCAGGTGAAGCGCCTCAATCCGGAGGTGCTGAAAGAGGCGGCAATTGTAGCCGCTTGGCTGCCTCATGAAATTACATCCCCGGAAGATACAGCAAGGCGGATTGAAGAGCTGGCGAAGCGCATTTGCGATGCCGCAATGCCTCGTTCCGGACGTCGCCCTCCTAAGAAACAGGTATGGTGGTGGACGGCAGAAATCGCGCAACTGCGTGAGGACTGCGTCGCTGCCAGACGCCTGTTCTCGCATTACCGAAGGAGGGTGCATCGAGATAGGGCGGAGGAGGATCGTAGATATGCAGGATATGTGGAGGCGAAGGCGAGCCTGCAAGCTCAGATTGCCAAGGCCATTGCTGAGGGGAGGGCCGCAATGTTGGAGGGGCTCAATGAAGACCCCTGGGGCACACCGTACAGACTGGTCATGGACAAGCTCCGCCCCTGGGCTCCCCCAATCACTGAATCGCTCGATAGGGAAGTGCTGCGAAGTGTGTTGGAGAATTTATTTCCACACCGACATAACTTTGCGCCGCCGCAGATGGCTCCGAGTGCAACGGCTGAAGAGGCTGAAGGGCAGGAGGAAGTGCCGGAAGTCGATGAGGACGAGATGGCAGTTGCAGTAGCGCGCCTGCGGAGAAAATCGGTCGCACCCGGGCTGGATGGAATACCGGGTCGCGCTCTAGTCCTGGCGATGGACGCTTTAGGGCCTTGTATGAGGGGACTATTCACTGCCTGTCTGGCTCAAGCCACAATTCCACAGAGGTGGAAGACAGGCAGGCTAGTCCTCCTCAGGAAGGAAGGGCGTCCAGCGGAGTCTCCCTCTGGTTACCGCCCCATCGTGCTTTTGAGTGAGATAGCTAAGTTGTTCGAGCGCATCGTGGTAGAACGCCTAATCAAGCACATGGCGGAGGTCGGGCCAGATCTATCGGACACGCAGTTTGGCTTCCGCGGTGGTCGCTCAACCGTGGATGCCATCCTGTGGGTGAAGTCCCGCGCGCAGGATGCGGTCTCCCGGGGTGAGGTAGTTTTTGCGGTGTCCCTGGACATCGCAAACGCCTTTAACTCTTTGCCCTGGGCTTGCATCAGGGAAGCACTCCGATATCACGGGGTGCCCACCTACCTGCGTCGCGTTATCAAGGATTACCTCTCCGATAGATCGGTGGTCTTTCCCGAGCGGGACGGCTGGGGGAGACGCGAGGTGTCGTGCGGTGTTCCACAGGGCTCGGTACTTGGGCCGCTCCTGTGGAACATCGGTTACGACTGGGTGCTGAGGGGTAGGACACTAACGGGAATCAGCGTAGTGTGTTACGCAGATGACACCCTCGTCTTGGCGCGGGCGAAGAGCCACAGAGAGGCGGCGATATTGGCGACGGCGGGAGTGGCCCATATAGTCAGTAGGATAAGGTGGTTGGGATTGGAGGTTGCTCTCGGGAAATCGGAAGCGATCTGTTTCCATGGCCCTAGAAGAGCACCTCCACCGGACACCCACATCACGGTCGGCGGAGTCCGCATCGGCTTGTCGAGCACGATGAAGTACCTGGGACTCGTGCTCGACGGCCGGTGGAACTTCCGGGCCCATTTCAAAAACCTCGCACCAAAACTGACGAAGACAGCGGGTGCACTCGGAAGATTACTACCGAACGTCAGTGGACCGAATTGCGCCAGTAGGCGCTTGTATCTTGGAGTCTTGAGGTCCATGGCGCTTTACGGTGCCCCGGTATGGGCAGATGCTCTCAGTCGCGAGAACGTGGCTGTCTTGCGGCAGTCACAAAGAATAATGGCGACAAGAGTCGTGCGAGGGTACCGGACCATCTCGGGCGAAGTAGCGTGCGTGCT